AAGAATGAAGCGTACTTGTGGCACCTTAGAGACTAAAATTTATTTGGGTATAAGCTTTCGTGGGCTAAAACCCACTTCAACAGATGCATGCAGTGGAAAATACAGTAGGAAGATATATATACATATTTCTGTTACTGATAAACATATATTAGAAGAAATTATCTGCTATATGCTGAATCAATATAAAAATAAAACATTATGATTCTTTATAGATTATCTATTCTCTTTACTGACAAGAATCCATTGCTAAAGTGAAATAAGTTACAGGAAACCGTCTCGTACACAGAAACAACAAAAACCACACACAACTACTTCCTACTTTGCTCATCAGTGGGGTTTGAAACCAGGACCTTCAGTGCTAAAAGCATGAACTGATACTGTTTGAACTAAAGAACACTAACTGAAGTTCCACCTTGTATTTAGCTGGGATGCCTTTGAGTTTCCCAGGCCCGAAGAAGAGCTCTGTGTAAACTTGAAAGCTTGTCTCTATCGCCAACAGAAGTTAGTCCAATAAAAGATGTCACCTCACCCTCCTCATCTGCTCTATTAGCAGACAGTTATAGTAGAGCTTTGCTCTTCTGTAGATCAGCCACTAGAGATGACCAAATACTCAGACTCTTTTTATTAATTAGAATACACCTATAAGCTCCAACTGAGACAGGGCTCAGTTGCGCTTGATACTGTACATACATACAGTGAGAAAAGTCCCTGCTCCGAAGAGCTTACAATCCAAATAGATAAGAAGGTAAGTAAGTTTGGATACATATTTTCCCCACCACTTTTCAGTATTAAGATGATCAATTTTTAGTCATCCAGCAACAGCCAAAACAAACCGTTTTGGAAGAGTCCCCTCCCCCAAATCTTGAATCTCCAAGCTAATATTCATCAGTTTACAATGGAAATACTCACAAACTTAGCTGAATAATAATACCACCAATGCTGTGATCATTTCATTTGAGAGATTGTGTATTAAGACAATTACAGCCTCTTCATAAATTAAAATTAATCTTAAAATGTTAGCATTGCCTCTATTATTAAAAATCTCCACAATCTCAACAAAAACCAGTTCAGCAGTGTATTAACATGTTAAAACATTTAACAGCTAGTTTGGGGGTTGTTTTTTGAAAGGGTGATGAATAGACTTTCTTTTCACACATCATATGATGGTCTCACTGATGTTCTATAGCAGTGATTCTCAAAAATTTTCACAGACCACTTGAAAATTGCTGAGGGTCTTGGCAAATGATCTTTCCAAAAGTTGTTTGTACCATTTGCTAACTATTGTAATGCTCTTTGGATAAAAGCGCTATATTAAAAAAAACCTTAATAATTAATGTTCTTTTCCTCTACAAATAAAAGCACACAACTCATGTTTTAGTACCAGTAGTCTTACCTTTCTAATGTGATAAATATGCCCTCTCTCCCCTGCCGCAGCAGCCCCCGAGCTAGGGCTCGGAAGGAGAGGGGTCTCTCCCTCTCTCCCCCACCATGGCAGCCCCCAAGCTGGGGCTGGGAAGGAGTGGGGGTCTCTCCCCTGCTACATCAGCCACAGAGCTGAGGCTGGGAAGGAGGGCCGTTTCTCCCTGGCAGCCGCAGCCCTGAAACTGGGGAAAGTCACCTCTTTCTCTGGCCGTCGCAGAACTGCACGTCCCAAGTTCCCCCACCCCCTCTTCTCACCTCACTGCCCCCTCCCACCTACCCCCAATTCCCCCCAAGGCCACCACCTCACCACTGGTGTCTTCTCCAGGGTCCAGGCACCTAATCAGTGGAGCCACACCTGCACAGCTCCACTAATTAGGTGGTTGGCCCTTCATTCTCTCATGTGCGGCTGCCCAGGTGCGCACCTTAGAGGGAACTATCCGCAGACCACCTGAATGGAGCTCGCGGACCACAGTTTGAGAACCCCTGTTCTATAGCAAAGATTCTCAACCTTTTTTTGGCTCAGGACCCATTTGTAAATCTTGATGGCCTGTCATGACCCAGTAGATAGTGTTAGTGCAAAAAAATCTGTTTACTAAATAAATATTACTCAATATATACATTAACTTAATAAGTGCTAAATAAATGTAACGTGTGCTACAGCGGCAGCTTCTGCCCAGTCCCTGGGCCCAGCTCCCCCTCCTGATGTTGCAACCTCTGGGGGTCACAGCACTACTCAGGTTTGGATCAGCCCCCCCGCTGGACTCAATTTGTATGATTCATAGATTCCAAGGCCTGAAGGGACCATTGTGGTCATCTAGCCCGACCTCCTGTATATCACAGGTCACAGAACTTCACCAAAATAATTCCTAGAGCATGTCATTTGAAAAGTATCCAATCTTGATTTTAAAATAATCAGTGATGGAGTGGCATTGTGACTCGGTGCATCGGGTCATCATGCCACTCACTTAAATTTGGCCTGGTAGGCCTTCTGTCATCTCTACAGAGGGGCAGCAGACCTGAGCAACATGCATCAGGTCGCCAGGTCTCTAGTGGGTAGCCCAGCCCAATCAGCCCCACTGGAACAGAGTTGCAGCAACTGCCACTGCAGGATGAGTGTGGGCTGGGTTCTGCAACTACCCACTCCCTCCAAGAGCATGACCCAACTCTCACCTCTCCCTCCTCCCGACATGATCCTTTGACACATTCTGGTGACCCAGTTTTGGGTTACGACCCATGAGTAGAGAAACCCTGTTCTATACTGATGTGTCTCATAGTGTAAAAATAAAACTACTGAAAATACAAGGGTTGATAAGTGAGAACCGTTTATTCTCGATATCCCTCAAGACAGCTGACTTTTGAAAGAATGCATCCTCCTGTGTAAGTAAAAGTAATAACCTCTATAGTGCTGAGGTATGCAAAACAATGAAAGACTAGTTTAACAGTATTTTTTTTTGTTTAGCGCCAACAATACAAAATACAGACAATCCAGGCTACACCTAACACAAAGAGTTTTCACTGAACCAATGGTGAGGCATCTAATAAATCATAACAAGTTAAACACTGGTATGTTACGGGACAACAGATGTAATTTCCATGACAGCAAGCCATAACTCTAAAAAGGATCAAAGCAATTACTATTTCCCTTTTTTCTTCCCCTCATCCTCATCCCAACATAAGACTTATCACAACAGTAGAAATGAGTGAATTCATGTGGCTGCATGTGCACGTTAGGGAGACAGAGTACCGCCTCATGGTTTGCTTTTAAGTGTGTAAAGTACTAAGACTGAATATAACACCACTTCATATATGTGATGTATTAATAAGTTTTTCCTGAATGACAAGTAACAAAAACTTTTTACTGCTATTTATATTTTATCCTTTCCTCCTGTTTCTCCCCCTTCTCTCCCCCTCCCATCCCATTTCCTGTAGTTTAGTTTAAACCAAAGCCTAGAAAGCCAAAGGGGAGGGAGATACTGGAGAGGAGGAAGAAAGCGAACTTTGAAAGGAAATATGAATCTCTGCTTTCTAAAACACAGCATGGGAAAGGATTGTGACTACAAACGAGTGCCCAAGGCAGCAGCAGAATCCTGATAATACTGATACAGGGCATAGTTATCAACACACCATTAAACATCAGACAAAGTCTGGTTTTATTCATGGCTGCTCTATCAAGTTCTCATCATGTTGCTCTGAGACAGGAAAGCATATATGTGAAGTTGCAATCAGTGATTGGTGAGTGTAAGTAACAATACAAGAGAACACATGAAAAATACAGAAAAGCCTGGGGAGTGTGGGTAGGGATAAGCCTTATTGTTGTTTTTGTAACTCCCTCATTTCTCCATCACCCCAGTTGAAACTTCACTCATTTTCATCACTTTCTCTGACATAATTATATTTCTGTGATCCTGTTAGAAGGTTTACTGTTCCTAAACTAATAAATACTGCAGTACAAAACAACCAAACACGTGTGCTTAAGTAAATTCAGTTATTTAACTTATAGCAATGCACATGATTCAATACTTCACACAAACTAAATTCACCTAAACAACCATCTGAACTGCGATTTTTTTTTTAAACACAGTATTACCCACAGAAACAGGATAAAGAAAAGCAGCTTGCAGATGTTTTGTTAGTGGGTGAATGACCAAAACCTCAGCTATATATAATGTCTTACATATTGTTACTTGTGCATTCATATACTTAAAACACACAACAGCTCATACTGGAGAGACTGGGTTATTATTGCAGAAAGCCCTTTCATTCCCAACCAGAAGTGTATGTGCCAGAATAAGGGTTCCTTCCCACTGACACATCCAAAAGAATCACGGGGGAAAACAATGTAGTCAGTCATTTTCCACCCTGGAGAGACACAGCAGGCAGCAGAGCAATAAAGCGAGTGGCAGATTTATCTGCTTGCTTTATGTATCACAGAGGGAAGGGGAACTGCTCCAGCAACGAGGCTAGAGTCGCTAGTCAGCGAGCAAAGCAGAAGCGCCCTATGCAACATTGCACTAACCTCACACACAGCTTTACAACAAAGCAGTGTGCAGCTGCAAAGTTTTATGCCAAGGGGTCCTCCACTCAAGTCGTGATCTGAAGTTTGAGGAAAATACGTTGAGAAGTTACACCGTTTTGCCGGTTGTTGTTGTTTTAAAGAATTTCACGGGTTATAAGAGGCTTTAACTCGTTCCATCGCCCCTGACCAAACCTGTTTGTGGGATTCCCACTTTTTTGTGCTGCAGCTGTTTCCAGTACACCAAAGCCTATAAACTAGCATGATCACTGTATCCCTCTGTCTCTTTCTCACCCACGCACAACAATACCAAGCCCTCAAGGTCTCTTTCAACACTGCAGTTTCTACACACACAGGAACTCGTGAGCCCCCAAACTCCCGTCTCCAACTACCAGCTATGTCTATTTTGTGGCTAGAGAAAACCACACGCAGAGAAGCTTGCCGCGTAAGTCGCCCCCACCCCCAGTTCTTCCCTGGTTTGTTAGTGGTGCAGCCAGGCTGCCCTCTGCCAGGGCTGCAGACACATGCAATGAATGGAAACGATCCCAATTGTTTCCCAACTTACCCGCCTGCCCCTTGCAACTTCAGTGCTGCTGCTCTGCAGGCTCCCGGGCTGGTAATCCCCGGTGCCAGGCGGCACGGGGCGCTGGAACTGGTCTCACTCCGGCTCCCCAGGCGCTGCCTTTGCCCCCACGGCGGCCGGGTTCCCCCACCCCCCAGTCGCACCCGGACGCCGGACCATTCACTGAGGCACAGGGCTGGGAGCTTAGCGCGGACCCTGCAGCGGGAGGGAGGGAGGGAGCGAGGAGGCTCTGCCTCGCCCAGGACCGGCCCACTTACACTGACGTCCCGCGCTCCGCCATCGCCTCCCCCAGCCAAGGCCAGCCACAGGCGCGCCTCCCGGGCTGGGGAAGGGGCGGAGGGAGTCCTGGGGAGGGGGCGCAGGCAGGATCAGGGAGGCGTAACGGGGCAAGGGTTTCCTAGGGGCAGAGGAAGCGATGGGGCGTATCACGGTGTAGGGGGCGTCCTGGGGGCATAGGTGGGATGCGGGTGCCCGGAGCTAGAAGGGCTGAAAGGGGGTCTGGGGGTGAGCTTGGGTAGAGAAGGTGCAATGACGGGGGTGTCCTAGTGTGGCACAGGGGGGCTAGTGAGGGGTAGAGGGTGCAGGGTGGTGGGGGTACCCTAGGGTAAAGGGGTGTACCGGGGGTAGGGGGGTGTCCTGAGGTAAAGAGGGTGTAGTGGGGGGGTAGTGAGGCGATGGGGGTGTCCTGAGGTAGTGTATGCAATGGAGGGTGAAGGAGAGATGGGGGTACCCTAGGGTAAAGGGGGAGTAGTGGGGAGTGAGAGGGTCAGGGGGTGTCCCAGGGTAAAGGGGGGTTAGCGGGGGGGCTGGGAGGGTTAGGGGTATCCCAGGGTAAAGGGAGGCTGTAATGCCCCCTGAGGGGAAGGGGGCGTAGTGGCGGTTGAAGGGGGACGGGGTGGCCTGCAGAGGAAATGCAGGTTCATTGGGAGGCTCAGGGGAGAGCACGGCGTGCGGTGCCCCAGGAGGCGTTTAAGCGCAGCGCTACCAGCAGCCCCTGGGCTCTCGGCGGGACGGCGGCGCACGGGGCGGAGCCAGCCTGGCAGACAGATGGAGCTGAGAAAAAGGCTGCGCGCCGCGGGGTTTCAGGACTCCCAGGCTCGGCCTCGCCCACTCACTGGCAGCGTGCTGGCGAAGCGCTGCAGCTGAAGAGAATCAGTCATTAGAGAGCAGCCTGGAGGGAGGAAACCTTCTCTCTGAGCTGGGACTTTCTAGAGAGTTCTCTCCCACCCCTGCTACTTTTCAGTGCCTAATGCAATTGGAGGGGTTGCCTCCCTGCCAAACGCTGCTCAGAGAAGGGTGACAAATCCTTGGGGTCCAGACCTGGGTGCTTACCTAGGAGTAACACTGAAGGAATTCGTGTCCTCGCTCGGGCTGCAGAGCACCCTGAGGCAGCAACACCAGAACAGTTTGTAGAGCTGTATGCGGAGCCTGCTACGCGTTGGTCCGTTTTTTTTAAAAAGTAACTTGTAATTAAATGTTGCAAAGCATTTTGGCTACTATTATTAAGAGTTGGTTCTGGACTCTACAATAGAAAGGATACAGAAGACTCAGTCCGCGCCCAAATGGACAATGCGATCTTGATTACCTTTACTACGCTACTGATATGCCCAAAGGTTTTTCTCCAAAAAAATTTTTTTTTTCTTAAGGTGCCACAAGTACTCCTTTTCTTTTTGCGAATACAGACTAACACGGCTGTTCCTATGAAACTGTGTACAAGAATAAACATATGCAGTAGTGACTGTGTGCAAGATTGCTTCTTAAGTATGCACATAGCAACGTGCTAAGCTCTTTTGGGTGTAAACAACAGTAACCCAGTGCAAGGCTATCATATTTTCAAAGGATCCTCAACCTGACCTCCATTTATGCAATGATGACTTGCTGCACAAGTGACAGAACATACCTCTGCAAAACCCATTTGTTCTTGATTTGTGTTCTATTTGTGCATGTAAATATATATATTCTAGCATTTGCATATGATTATTCATGCACACAGAGACAATGTTTATAAGTATAGCCCCAGTGACTGCTGAGAGAAAAAGAGAGTTATGAGCTGCCTTATGTATCTCAATATAGTGTTAACCCTGACACACAGTGATGACCATTTAAATACCGACATTAGATTCATTCCTCCTCCAGTTGGCATTGTTGAGAGTTTTGCAATTGACTTCAGTCTAATATTAGCTATTTCACTGCTGATCAGTTTGGCACAAAACTAATTATTTCTTAAAACCTATTTTGTAAAGAAATTTTACACCCCCCATACAGTGAATACATGGTTGATTTATGCTACTATAGTTATGTTGCTATGTGATGGCTGAAGTGTTAGAGAGGCTACCGCTGACATTTTGTGCTGGCATTCAAAGTCAGTGTGAGCTTTTCTCTCACTAATTCCACCCCCCCCCCCGTGTTCTCTCGCCCTTTAAAATCTTAACAGAATATTTTCCAGTTGTAAAGAGGAGCCTAATTTTAAAGAAACTATGTCAAGATGACAGCACTTTTTTCAATAACTTTGCAAATCTTTTGTAATTTCCAAGATTTTTTTTGTCCAACGCCAAGCACGTGCAGTCTGACCACTAATGACAATATTCAAAACTCTTGAAAATATTTGTAGTGAAAAAGTTGTGTGGGGGTTCAGTCTAGGGTGACCAGATGTCCTGATATTATCAGGATCGTCCTGATATGAAAGGCTTTGTCTTATATAGGCAACTATACCCTCCTGATTTTTCACACTTGCTGTATAGTCACCCTCATTCAGGCTAATACTTTATACCACTTTAAAATAATTATATGCTGTGCTATTCATTAACTATTGTGCCCATAATAATGGCAACAACATATGGAATGTAAATTAATGTAAACCAGATTATATTTTATAGTAAACGTTTTCATATGAACAAAAAAAAAAGGAGTACTAGTGGCACCTTAGAGACTAACCAATTTATTTGAGCATAAGCTTTCGTGAGCTACAGCTCACTTCATTGGATGCATTCAGTGGAAAATACAGTGAGGAGATGTATATACACACAGAACATGAAAAAATGGGTGTTATCATACACAGTGTAAGGAGAGTGATCACTTAAGATGAGCTATTACCAGCGGGGGGGGGGGGAGGGGAGAGGAAACCTTTTGTAGTGATAATCAAGGTGGGCCGTTGCCAGCAGTTAACAGGAACGCCGGGGGAGGGGGGGGAATAAACATAGGGAAATAGTTTTACTTTGTGTAATGACACATCCACTCCCAGTCTCTATTCAAGCCTTAGTTAATTGTATCCAGTTTGCAAATTAATTCCAATTCAGCAGTCTCTCCTTGGAGTCTGTTTTTGATGTCTTTTTGTTGTAATATTTGCGACCTTTAGGTTCCCCTATATCTATTGGGGAAACTGACCAATATGAGCCTGCAGTGGGACATATTGCAATATACCTCAAATGCTCTGATTTTTGTTATGTTGCCTTATGAACCCGAGGATAATTTTAAATACTCCTGAAGTTGGGAAAGAGAGGTCGAGTCATTTATTTACACTAACCAGGTAAAGTAATTACAATTTTACAGTATCCTAACCTTTTTGTCTTAGATTTTTCTGTGATTGAAGTGTTGGGGACAAATTCTTCATTGTCTTGCACCACGTGTAGTCATTTACACCCGTGCAATACCATTCTGATTTGACAGTGTTTTACACCTACTTTACACTAGTGAAAATGACAACACATGGTGCAGAATAATCAAGAATCTAGTCCTGTCTATGTATATATCTAAGCTCTTAAATCAGGCCTATCACCACAGTTTGAGTCCTAGATCTTGGATGGTGTTTAGGCACCTAACTTCTGGGCATTAGGTTGCTAAATACCTCTAAGGATCTGGGCCTGAGAGGTATCTGTTCACTTTGTTCAGTGTGCACTATTTTCCTGCTACTCTAGGAATGCAGTTAAATATTGTTTGTTTTTCTTTGTTTTTTACTAGTGAAGAAACTATCTGAATGTATATTTCAGCTATGAGCATGCAATAGCTCTTTCTAAAGCAAATAAGAATGTTTCCTTAAAACATATTTTAGTTCATTGTGCAACCTTCCTCTTCTCGGAAAAGGAGACTTTTAAAGGAATATAGCCCTAAGGCTGCATACAAGGCTACCAGTTCAACTTCAGCCCAATCAAGCGTGGTTTGATAGGTGTTCTGGATGTATATGAAATGTATTGGTGGTCTCAATCCAGTTCTAAGTGAAAAGATGTATATGTCACACAACTCACCTCAAAACTGGCATCAGTTGACAGACCTGTTGGCAGTTGCAAGAGCTAGACCAGCACCTAAATCAGTAAATGGACCCTGTCATCCCAGAGACATACCCTTTAGAATAAGTTTGAGGTGTCAGGATAATGTGGAGAAGTTTGCTTTGCTTTAGCCTGATCTGTCCTGGTTCTGTGAATAATCGGAGGGTTCTGTTTTCAGAGCTATAAGTCTGCCACCTTTCATAACCACTAAATTCACTAAAAAAAACACTCCACAAAAACTAAATCCTGAATTACACTTTTACTCCCTGATCTTGCAAGTGGATGGGTGCAGACATAACCTTGTGCTTCCAACAGGGCTCCACTGACTTCCATGGGGCTGCATATGGATACAGCGATCCATCTGTGTGGATCCAATTGCAGATTCTAGGCCTTATTTGTAACTAGTAGCTTAGAAACCCCAACCCCTCACAATGTTTTCTTAAGTGGGGGGGGAGGGGGGGGGAAGGGGAAGAAAGGGAGGAAGCAGAACACAGAAATAAGAAACATATATACAGGTGTGCACACTTCCTAAGAGCAAGTATAAGGTTTAATGTCTGTATTTATTACCCAGACTTTCATCTATGCATTATTTAAGTTTTTCTTTCACCCTGAACAAGTTATAAATAAAAATATTCTAAAAACATTTTTTCTACTGAAGAGATTTTGCTTGTTCCCATTAAGGACTCAAACAGATCATTCTATTACTGCAAAATAAGTTTCTTTCTAAAGCTGAACTCTCTTTGACCTCACAAAAAGTAACTACTTTAGCATACAATGGAAGACAATTCAGCAGGCCTGTCCGAAAATAAACATTTGTGTAAAGTACATTTTAACCCTGGAGACTTCAGATAAATGGAAGGAGTACCACAATATTATTTATTGATAATACAAAAGGAATGTAACTGAAAAATTGCTAACCTTGAAAG